TTTTCGTTTTATGATCTCTTCAGTTTAGCTTACATTTTATGTTATTATTACCGTATTACTTTACTTAATTAAAGTTTCAATAATATTTCATATTCTTTGTTGATTGTTGGAGCTTTTCGAGTTATTTTTTATGCTGCTACGTGGTTTGTATACCATTTAGACAATTAAAATTCCAATATTGTAGTAAATCAGCCTTAAGCCATGGGGGTAGCGAATGAATGACAAACAGCCACTCAAATTTGTAAGAGTTAACTTGACTACTTAACTACTTGACTGACTGACTGACTGGCTGGCTGGCTGCCTGGCTGGCTTGCTGGCTGCGTGGCTGGCTTCTCGTCTGAGTTGTCTGGGCTGCTGATGCAAGTGTGAAATTCAATTGATTTTGCTGAATATACGTTTTAAAACTTTCTGGCTTGCCTGTGCAGACGTACTTTGAATCTACAAAGCTATCAAAAATTAACGCTTCATATATACAATCTTGCAGGTTTTATATTGCACTCTGTTTTACAGGCTTTAGATTTAATTTAATTTTTTATGCTTAAACACAAAAAACCCTCTTAAACGAAAATTATTATTCACTCTGTGGTTTATTGAAAAAGCAAAAAAAAAAAAAAGGGAAAACATTATCGAGTTTGTCTGAAATATATTCAGGATTATTTTCCTTTATTTCTGCTCTTCTCTTCGACAAAGTGGTTGTGAAAAATGTCTAGCAAAGCTTTTTATATCAATTACTTATTTAAACGAATTTTTCATTAAAACACAAAAAAAAAAAAACAGGCAGAAGCAAAAATCCCTTCACTTATCCAATCAATACCTGAGCACATGTACAATATACTCGATATAACTGGAAAGTATATATTGAATTTACCACAATTTTTTGGCTATTTTTGCGGTTAATTTATCATCATTATTACACGCATTTTAAAAATATCCATATATTTGATATATTATATACATGCGGCATGCAGTAAAATCATATGAAAAATATACTTAAATGTTAATAAAGTGCTTTCGTGTTAATAAAAAAGTCTATGGCAGGCAGCGAGTAAAAGCAGAAAATTAAATAACTTATCGCTGTTGCTTTAAGGCAAATACTTCACGGATATGTACTCACTTATCGTTGTACTATTTACATTTTTTATATAATTACTGTTATTAAAATGTTTTCTTATTCTTATTTCTTTCGTTTCTTTTATGTAAATAATTGAAACTAACAAAGAAAAGCACCCAAACACATAAAAGAAAAAAAAAAGTATTCTTCCTAACGCTAAAGTGTTTATTCATCATCGAATTGTTGAAAAGTAGCAGACAAAGCATTAATATAATGACAAAGTTTAAATGTTTAAATTATGAGCTCTTAACGCTTTCTCACACAATTGTCACTTTACTAACAATGACAGCTCGTCCTTCCTTTCATTTTATCCTACTTTATACACTTCTTTTCTATTTTTAGGTTTTAATGGCAGGCACACTATTAAGTACAGTACAAAAAAAAAATAAAAAAAAATAAAAAATAAGAAAAAAAGACGGGGAAAAAGAAGAAGAGATGAGTGAAAAACCAATGTTCTCAACTATGAATGTCGGAGAAATGACAGCCAAACGTTTATTCCGTGTTGTTTTAAAACAAACAGAATTAAAAAAAAAAAAAAAAGAATAAACAATGGAAAGAGAATTCTAAGAAAATACAGAAAGACTCTTAAACCGAAATGATTATCGAGCCGCCGTCATGAAATATTTAAACAAGTGTAGACCTACTTTCAAATGATTACTTAAAAATAATTTAAAAAAAAAACACTCTTCAAATACGGAATATTCTCTATAGGTTTTAACTCTGCACATATGACAGTAAATAAAGCCTTCAAGTCTTTGCAATCTGTGTAAATGTCAATAGTTCTCTTTCTTTGATAAATAACCATATTATTAATATATTCATTTTTATCATGTCCCTTCCAAGATCAACGCCTTCTCGCGCAATGCGTGCGCTTCGATGTTCGTTGTTGCCTGCAAAATACCCTTTTGCGATTTTCTTAACTCTTCACAAAAAGTCTGCCTTTTTATTGGCGCAAGAAATGCTTTGAAACTTTCGGGATAAGCCCGCCTGTTGATTTCCAAGTCCTTTTGTCTACTTAGAACTCGCTTTAGAAAGTACTTATGTCTTTTTAAAAGTGTGTTCAAAATATAGGCCAGTGCAGTCAATGTAGTGTGATTTGACAGTTGAATACATGAAGAAGACGTCAACACTAACACTGCAACAGCAGCGGAAAGTAATGATGTTCATTCAAAAGCATTTCCGAAACAAATCTCAGTATAACTCCTTTACTTGAAGATCCGTAAAGAGATCCAGTATCAATAAAAAAAACATTGTTAGAACATGACAATCTAATGTGTTGCCTGTTGATTTGCAAGTCCTCTAATCTATTAAGAACTCGCTTTAGAAAGTGTTGAGGTCCCTTAAAAAGTGCTTGCAAACTATTATAGTGTGGTGTACCTCTCTTGATTCTATTATTGGGTAGATAAGAGGATGAGAGCTCCTCTAAAAAAACGAACGGAAAATATTTATGTTCTTCCCAAGCATTTCAAAAAAAAAAATACATATATATATATATTAGTGTAATTGCACCATGGCGACTTTTGATTAGATATAAGGCTGAGAGCGATTCCGAAGATTTCAAAGCTTCCACCATAAAATTGAAAATTTGGGATGAAGCTTTCAGAGATGCCTATAAATGCGGCTATGGAATAATACATTTTCTCATTTCTTTCTCTGCCGTTTCGCAACATGTAAGGCCGAAAACACGCGATTCTGTTTTCGACAGGCGCAGCGAAAGATCCTAAAATTCATTTTATATGATTACAATAGGACGGGACGCATCTGGGCCTTAAATGTTTTATCACATATCCTTCCCTTGATTCATTCAGGAAGTTATCAAAGTGCTTTCTCTCTCGAAATTCAATCTTTTCTCGCATAATCCCAGACAAGAGACCAAGAGACAGCCGCGTATTCCAGGAAATATTTACAGTTAAGTCTTTCTGCACATGTTTTCACTTGAATGCTTGAAAAAGAGCGACATTCTCAGTATTTGATACTCAGGAGAACATGACATCGACCCATCTTTTATTACACCGATCAACGATTCAGAGGCATTTTCTTGTCCGTTCGCTTGTCCGTCTTGTTTTTTTATTCAACCTACAGGTCGCAAATTTTCGAGATATTTTGAAAAAATGTGACACACTGACATGTTTTGGCTGAATGGCGAGCGCTATTATAAATCGTTCGGATCGGGCCATTTTCTCGGCCACTTTCAATATAAGGCCTTCTTCTGAAAAGTCGTTATATGAATAACGGTATCAAGTGAAGCGGTGTAGGCGGTATTTCATGGTGCGCCATCTTCCGCTAAAATATTTTTACTTGTTGAATTCGAAGTTTCAGTTTTAAAAAAGGCAAATCATTCTTTTAATATGATAAATAAAAACAAAAATTCCTAGCATCGCACTGAGAATTTTACTAATACTGTGTTCTGTGTTCATTTACTCGAATTTCTTATTTTTGTTTTATGGTTTTGTAAGTGATGCATTATTTTATTCATTTAAAATAATGCAAGCTACTGCAATATAAGAAACTTAAGCCAGTTGCTCTGTACGAGTAACAAAAAAGATAAACCTTTTAAATGCTTTTCCCTACATTTATATAAATACGTTTTCAAGCAAATTTATAGAGCTCTAATCGATGTATTGTGTACAAACACGTAAATACTTACAAACAACTGCATTGAATGTGCAAAAAAAGAAAAAAAAAAAAAAAAAAGAAGAAAAAGTAAACCAAAAAAGCATATTTTCCATTATTTTGTTTTTACTTTAACATAAATTCACTGCAAATTACAAAAATTTTATATATATTTACATTCAATAACATATGCTTTCTCTATGGTCTATATATATATATATACATACATATACAATACATCTTTCTACTAGAGGTATATATACACAAACTATCTATATACATATGTATGCATATGTGTAGAGTAATTTTCGGTCACATGTATCTCTCATAAATTTTTCACATTTATGTATGCGTATGTACGTATACTTTGTAGGGCGAAGCCAATATAGTCCATATTTTATATATATATATATGTTTGCTTTTTAAAGTAATTCATATATATTTTTGCCGCAATTTAATTTATATGATATAATGTAATGGTTTTATGTTTGCGAACACTCATCCCTCCATATATTTATATATACATGGGATAATATTGATTTTTAAAATAAGGGAACTATATGTAATATTTGAAAAATTTACATTATGATCTTGCATAGCTAAATATGGTGGCCAAAATATACATTTTCCTTTTTCATCAACTAAAAATTCAGTTCATATTCTCGTTGATGCGAATCTTTGATACCCTACGCTACGTCCAACTAATCGAGTTGCAAAGCAGATATGAGCCCACTAGTTAATCAATCCCCGATGATATTATGCCGCTTTATAGCCACGAAAAAATTTAATTTTTTTTTTTTTAAATAAAGCTTGCAAGTTTCTAAGAGGCGGATCGAGGAGCATCGATCAACAGTGAAGCATTTGTATGACAAAGCATTTGAAAAATATACGACTAACAAATTTCAAATAAGTAGACGAACAGAGAGACAGACAAGAAATTATTATATCGACCCAGAATCCTACGGTGATCGAAACCATGTATATATATATAGAGCCCTTGAGGTACATTTTCTTGATATTGCAAAGGGAAGGACAAACCTAGAAGACCATTTTCTATCACTCGGGCGAATAGAAATTAAGTGTATTGCCTCCTTTATCCTAATATTATAAATTTAATTAAATGGATGAATATTAAAAAAAAAACTATATTTATATATGAGGCATTTTCAAAATTATTTCAATTTTAATTGAGTTAAATTTCTTTCACGTTAATGAAAGTTGAACATATATATATATATAAATATGCATTTTTTTTTTCCTTTTATATCATTTGCAGGCGGCTTGCAAATCGAAAACAGTCGTGAAGAGGATCAAGGTAAATATGAATGTGTGGCTGAGAACTCTGTTGGCACTGAACACTCGAAAGCCACAAATTTATATGTGAAAGTACGTCGAGTACCGCCCACATTTTCACGACCACCAGAACCCATTAATGAAGTGATGTTGGGCTCTAGTTTAAATTTATCATGCATTGCTGTGGGTTCTCCTATGCCACATGTCAAGTGGATGAAAGGTAAATTTCATTAAAAGAGATAGAGACACTTGTACAAACTCAAGCAAACACATACAAATATACAACATACTGAACTAACTATTAAGCATCAGCTCAGACAAATTATATGTTTCATGCAAACATCTCTTGGTATGGAACATTTTATAGAAAACATGTACAATTTCCCTCGATATTTAGATAAACAATCAAATGCAATTGTATTTAATTTGCGGTTCTTATGTTTCCTTGCACTTTCCTTTTCTCGTTCCTTCTCTCTGTTCGCTTTATGTTATCTGTTTAGGTGCCCAAGATTTAACACCTGAAAATAATATACCCATTGGTCGTAATATCTTGGAATTAACGAACATACAACAGAGTGCAAATTATACTTGTATAGCTGCATCATCGTTGGGTCAAATTGAGGCAATTGCTGTAATTAAAGTGCAATGTGAGTCTTATACGGTAATACTTAATAATATTTAATAAGTTTGTAATCCTTTTCTATTGAACAGCATTACCGACAGCACCCACAGATGTTCAAATATCTGAAGTTACGGCCACCTCAGTAAGACTGGAATGGTCGTATAAGGGTCCCGAGGATTTGCAATATTATGTGATACAATATAAACCAAAAAACGCTAATCAGGTAAGATTTTAAATAAACACAAAAAATAACTTAAAATGGAATAAATTAATAAAACCAAAGTCAGGGCGAAAGCAAAACTTCGTACATTTTGCAGGCAGATGTTTGATAGAGAGAGGGCCGCATGCAAATCAGCGAATTGAAAAAGACAAACTTTATATAAGACAAAGAAGTAATTTCGGTATAAACGAAGTCTGGACAAAATATCTAGACAAGTAAACGGGTGAAAGTGCAGCTCGCCCTTTATAAAGAAGTCAGTTTTAGACTTTCCTAAAACAACTAGGAAACCGCCTCGAAGTACTGTTTCGAAGACATTCCATACAGAGTTCTCATTTTGTTCGATATCTTCATACTATTGCGTATTAAAATTGGGGGAATATAACTTACCACCATACCCAGTATTCCCCAAGTGACGATATACTGTTTAACGTTAAGTGCCTGCGTTCGATGGAAAAATAGTTCAGTTCCATAGGACTGGCACATCTCATTTCGACAACGCACTTTTCACGTATCTGTTCCAAGCGACTTCAGACTTGACTTCTGTCTAATGGCGGCTTTCAAACACTTTCCTGGAAAACGATCACGTAGCGATTAGGTACATTGACACTTCAGAAATAGTGACTAACTTGTGGGAAAAAAGCCCCATTCGTGCAATGCACATGGCAAGCAAACATTTCAAATATCATCGCTGAACCCTTCCACGTACTCAGGTTTTTCTTAAAATACGTAATAATTGACATTACCTTCCACTTTATTGCATCTTTTGTACCCGTCACCGTTGTCCTGCAGAAGATTAAAAAGAGATAATTTTTCATGCTCTATAATATTGGGGAGGCTCGGCGGATTTTCCCTATTTTCAGAATGAAAGTGAAAATTTACGAGTCAGGAGCAAAAAACACGGTGTTCACAAAGACGGTCGCAGTTTTTACTCTATAGGCGTGCGGGCTTCGTAGGCGTGGCTTTTGACCGGTTTAGATTATTTTCAAATTCTTTTGCAAATATGTAGATGATATCTTAATTTTTGCGAACGGGAGAATGCTTGTCGCAGATACTGTATTGATGGGATGGGATAGACAGATGGACGGAGAAATAGGCGGACGTGCTTAGGTGTATTCCGAAAATGACACTGGTCAAGGACTTTATGGGATGTCTAAAACGTGCTTCTGGCCGTTCCAAAGAAGTTGAAAGAGTATTAAATTTCTTAGATATCCTATAACACTGGGTAGGCGGGGCCAATTTTATCCGTTTATATACCGTACCGTGGCCAATAGAATATACGTTTAAATTTTTGTAGAGGGTTTATCTGCTGCAGCTTATGAGTAACGAGAAATAGCCCGATAGTCTCAGTTTACGTGGTGCATTAGGCGTGTCTTTCGATCCATTTGATCGATTTTCGATACCAACTTGCTTGCAAGGACCTCCAAAGTTTCTGCCTAGTTTGAAGTCGAAAGGTTCTGTTTTACAAAATAAGTTATACAGACGTACATGCTTAAGTCAATTCAGAATTTGATGCTGATCGGGATTTCTGGATTCTCTGAATTTTCCTACAGGGCGTTGAAAACGTTTTGATAAAATGAATGTATCCCTTATCCTTCAATGATGGGTATGAACATTGTCGTCGACATGCTAAGGGATACTGCCTTAAAGACATGCGATTTTCATTTACTTCATTTAGGGTTATCGTGTAAGATTTATTACAATTCACTTCAATGACTAAATTTGATCACTTAAATATGTATTCGAAGTTAACCGAATTGTTTATAAATTTTTACAGTTAGAAATTGTGTATGCGTGTTAAAAATATGAAAGAAGTGAAGGGCCTATTGAATATATACGTGATAGTGTATTAATAATAAATATGTTCCTTACTCGCTTTTCTCAAGAACTTTGGTGCATTTATGGGACTGCAAGAGTTCTATCCATTATGTATAAAAGTTTTAAAGAGGTTATGGCTCAATAAACTATAAATTCGGTAAAGATATGTTTAATTATATACCTTGCGTACATACAGTTAACCGTCAACGTAACGTTAAAATAGCTATTTTTCACTTACATTGATAAAATAGTTTCAGTAAATGGAACGAAACATGTGTTGTAGGTATTGAGCGATACTCTATTGATTGTTGAAATTTTTCATTCCAGATCCGTAAGGAATTGTGATTAAATTTTATATTGTTTTTCTTATGTGTTTCAGGCCTTCAGCGAGATAAGCGGCATTATAACCATGTTCTATGTGGTGCGTGCTCTCAGCCCTTACACCGAATATGAATTTTATGTGATAGCTGTAAATAATATAGGGCGTGGGCCACCTTCGGTGCCGGCGACTTGTACCACCGGTGAGACAAGTAAGTTGAAAATGATTTATAAAACAAAAAAAAAAACAAAAATATTTGATTTCTCACAACATTTGTTATATAAAAATCGTTCTTATTCTCTACTCGTCTTGTTCTTTTTTATTGGATTTATCTTTACATGCTTACTGAAGGATTTTGTTACCAATCCTTTTTTGTTTTAATATTTTATTTTATTTATTTATTTATTTATTTATTTTTTTTTTATGTTACATTCTCTTACTTAAAACTTGCCGTTTACTCTGTACTTTTGTCTTTCATTTAACTGTTATGCCTCTCGTTGGTCGTGTTAGGAGATTTTACGTATGGTGGAGCCAGTAAGTAGCAAATTTGAAAGCAATAATTTTATTTATTAACATGGTTAAGAGGGAGTTTGCTCTCTTTTTTTTTTATTTTTACTGTTATATACACATTTGTTTTTTCATTATCCAACTCATTCGCATTAACCTGAAACGTAAGCATATAGAGGCATTTATTGTTAGAAGTTTCTTCTCGTTATTCTTTAAATGGCAAAATGGAATAAAATTGCAAAACTCATACGCATTTAAAATAATGGTACGAGTGTTTAAATAGGAGTTGCTGAAACAGTTAAACTAAACTATAGTTGTGTATAGTTAAGATTATTTGCCCATAAAAATCGTTTTAGATGGAGACCAAGTTTCTCTCCGTCTGCATTCTTATCTTCTTGAAAGGTGTTTCCTACCGACAATTATCAAAAGCGTTTGTATGAAAGTCTTTTTTCAATTCACATGTGAAACTTTGAAGGTTTTCCAAGTTATAGAATAAAAAATATTGCATTTAATTTATGCAAAAATTTTTAAAAAAATTTTCATTTTTTCATGTTTCCTATTCTTCTTCCCATTTCTTTAATAGTAAAATTTAATCATCAAGTTTAACGTGTACTTTGACATTTATTATGGCTTATTTAAAAATATATTGATTGTCGCAGTGTAGCAGCTTAGCATTGAATTGCAAAGAACAATGCGAAGCAATTCAATTAAATTGAGCTTTTCTTTTTGTTGACTGTTTTCACATTTAATGACCTAAAGTGATCGTAAACGAAAAAGTGAAGATAGAAGGATTCGCCAAAGTAACTTAATTAAAGGTAATAACCGTGAGGCATAAATTTCATAAAAGCTTCATATTGAAAAGTTAACTTTCGTCTCATCGCTTACAATTGCCCTTAAGGTAGATTACAATTGAAGGAAAAGTTTTAATTAACAAAAGCAAATAAAATGTTGAAAAAAAAAAGAAGAAAAACAACAACGACAACAACAACAAAGATACGTTTGGTTAACCACAGTTTTCCGAAAGAAGACATATCTACATTTTCTCGTTTTTATATTCTCTAAACATATTCACATGAAATGTAAGAGAATACAAAATACATTTTTACACATGAAATGACTCAAAGGTCTTTCTACTTATGGACAAAAAAAAAAAGAAAAGAATAATACATTAACATTTTATGTAAAATTGAGAAAACATAAATATTTTGAAAAAGACAACGCGTTAGCAATTGCAAAATCTGATATAAAGCAAAAAAAAAAAAAAAAAAAAAAGCGTCAGTTGCACGGTATGCATTTACATTCAGTTCAAGTTGTATAAAACATGTTATTTATAGATTTACTAGAGGAAAGCATCCACGCAACCAACTTACCAGCAAATTGCCATTGTATACCGGAAGAAAGACAATTCCCCAAATAGAAAAAACGAAGAATCCCTTTTCACCTCCAATCAAAAAGTAACCAACTTTCCGTAAAGCAAGTCTTGTTTTTGTATACGATATTTGTTAAAAAAACGATATCATATTGGTACGATAAGTGCAATGGCACTTGTGGCAATAAAAGTTCAACATTTTGTTGTTTTTTTTTTCCTTTTTTCTTTTTCTGTTTTGGTTCGTTTTGCTTTTTCTTTTTTGTGTGTGTGTTAGTTTTACCCTTTTATGCATATCTGCAACGACTATTGTTATATTGGTCTACGTATTGCGTGCGGGTAGTTAAACACATTTGTTTTTCTCTCTCTCTCTCCCTCTCGTATCTGCAGCAATCCGTATCCTTATCTATCTCGCTGGTATGCGACTAGAAATGAATGAAGGTATTCAAGCCTTGGCGAAAAGGTATACGAATAATTTCGTGTTCTGGTTTTCATGCTTAACGAACGGCATCCCTTTGCATTACAATGCAAAGTTTATGACTAACAAATGTCTTTCATTTTTTTTTGCCACCGTCAATATTCAAAAACGTATGACTGCAGATGTACCCAATTGCTTGCAACCAATAATATTTTGTCCGGAAGAAGATTATGACAATTGTTGTTAAGCTAAGGCATAAATGAACGGTTGATAGAAATGCTTTACTTTAGAATACATTTGCATGGCCACTAAACCGCTTATGGTACAAAGGCATATTAGATTTGTGCGGATGTATGCAACACCCAGACAAAGTTAAGATTAATCCAATTTTTATTAAAAAAAATCGATTCAGATAACGATTCTCTCCGTAAGTTCGTCCATCTTTTCGTCTTGTTTTCCTTGTGTTCAACCTACAGGTTGCAATTTTTAAGACACATTGATTAAATTTGCTAAACTGATGCGTTTTGGCCTAAGGATGAATGCTATTTAAAACGAGTTGGTTCAAAGCACTTCTTCGATCGCTTTCCATATAACGACTCGTTCCATATAACGACTGTTAAGCAAAGTATTGTCGGACATTTACTCGCAGGCCATGTTTGTTTAAATTTCAGATCGAACTTTAAAGGTTTACGTAATTTTTCTTTTTTTTAACATAAGAAATTTTAATAAAGTTGACTATTGTTAAAGTTAAGTTCTTCAAACATCCTTCTAGCAAGTAAAGGATTTTCTGTCTACTGTTTTTTAAATGCTACTTGGGCTTCAGGAGATTATCAAATAAACGATGTAGTTTTTTATTTCTTTTGCTCTTTTTATAAGAAATTAATCTTTTTTAAACCGAAAGAAAAAGATATTGTATCAACACTCATAGTCCACCTTACAACTATCATAATTTAATATTCAAAAACTTACTTAAAGACTGAGGATCTTAAACTAAAATTTTTAACTATAATTTTTCTATAAGGTTTTATTTTCGTTCCCATTATATTCGTACACATAGACGATATAATCTTCTTTTCCTAAACTATAAAACGAAAATTTCTCAATGACTGGTTTTGGCTAATAGCCAATCAATAATTTCCAATTTTCGCAATTTTTTCCTGCCACCATAAGCAAAAAAAAAAAAAAAAATATATATATATATATATAAAAAAATCCAAAAGAAAATGAAAAGCAAAAAAATAGAAAAAAAGAAAAGTAGAAAAAAAAAAAAATAGAGATACACATACATATAAAACAGAATTCAAAGGCATTTTTTTCTAGATAGGTTTTTGCCAAGTTTTACCTGCTGTTGCTGGTGGTGTGTAACGATAATGGTTATAATGTTGACGATGATGATTGCGTTGCATAGAAAATGCACTTCGAAAAATTTTTGGCTCCATGCCTGACTGCCAGTACATCTTGGAGATTTGCATGAGAAGTCAACTAAACACCTACACATGCATACGCATATACACACTTATACGTCACGGAAAATAGCGTTCGGTCATTTGGTGTTATATTGAGCGCGAGCAAGCTTAGTGTGATTGTGTAGACCCATGTGTATCTAAACACATTAACACACGTTATATAGACGCATATGTAGATGTTTACATATACGGACACATGTGCATTTAAAACGCATTTAAAATTTCATATATAGTTAGAGACGTGTGCGACTATGTAAGCAAAGAGCTTAGGTATCATCCACCATCATACCATATATGCTAGGAATGCTTTATCACACAGGTCATGCTCCTATGCTCATGTGTATAGGTATTTATTACATTTCAGCCTTAAATATTAACTTTTTACAAACATATATAGTATGTGTAGGCTTTTGATTTTTACGAACATTCTCTCAAGGTAACAAAAAGTTCAAGAGTTCAATTATGTATACGTTTCATAAAGATATACCAACCTAGCACATATCTCTACTATTACATAGATTCGTTAGAGCAAAAATCGGGTTTCAGATTTTCATATGTTTTTAAGTGAGCAAAGTAAAAAAAAAAAAAAAAAAAAAACGTAAACCTTCACAAGTTCTGTTCGTTTAATTTGGCCTCTTTGTAATGCTCATCCCACGGCGCGTATATGCACTGCCACAATATATGCGATTATATTGGTGTGTATGTTTAGTGTGAATATATGTATGAATTTTCTAATGTCACATTACAAACACACACAAATTCCTCCGAGTTTTTGGCATACGTTGCAGTACGTTTCGTTGATATTTCGACCTCACACTGACATTTCTGGCAAATGTGCTTGACATTCGTAGTAGGTGGTGGATTCAAAAGTATTTGACCCCTTTCGGAACTCCCTCGCTGATATCACTTACCCTAGCCATTTAACTACGTGTTTAATTTGAAATTATTTTAATGGTCTGACTTGTTGTCATTTGGTTGGCACAGGAACCACATGATTATTGTTTCACAATTAAATTTAAAATTAGTTAATATTAATTACGCTGATTGCATAAAAATATATTACCATTAATTTTTTATACTTTGTACAAAATTTTAAATATATTTTTAATTTTTATCGGGTAACAAAGGTTATGCCCACGTTATGGAAGAGATATTTTGATATTTAGCCCTTACAAAAATGTAAAAAGAATTCGACTACCACGGTCTGGAACAAAAGCTAGCTTCGTACCTCTTGACGCGATAGTTGGCTAATGTAACTTTGTCAGGGAAAAAAGTTTTATTAAATTTTGTATCAAACTATTTGGTCATTGCACGCGTTGTTGTTGCTGTGCCTGAAGGTGTCTTTCTATTGCGTTAAATTTACGAATGAGTAGGCCGACGGACATCCCTTAATAGACTTGGAAGTGTTATGGTTACCTAACATACATAAACTTAATGGGATTGTGTGGTGAGTATTGCTGAAGATTACAAAAGGGCAGAGTAAAGGAATAAAACAAAGTAAAGGAGTAACCATCTCTTTTGAGCTTAAGTGCGTTTAAAATTAATGAACCATCGACAAATGGTTTTTCCGAAGTGGAAGCATTGTCATTATAATTCTCCGTCCAACTCTGAGATTGTACATATTTTATAGCGTGTTTACATTGATTCCTTCATGACACTTTACTTGGCATCATTGGCGTTTATATTGCATATAAATCATTAAGCAGAGCATATCGGCTGACCTGTGCTTGTTTTTCTCTTTTCTATATTTCAATATACGATTCGGTTTTCTGGTCAA